TTAGGGTCTAGTGTCTAGGCTTTAGGGTTTAGGGACTATATCCCACGAATCCCTCCTAAAACATGGCGCCTCTAAACATGGGCCCTAAACCCTAAACCCTAATCCCTAAACCCTAAACCCTAAACCCTACACCTCTACCGGGAGCGCCGAAACATGGGCACTTGGACGCCTCTGAGCTCATCCTTAGAAGGAGACAGGCCGGCGCTGCATCATCCAGAGGAAGGTTCATGAGAATGTCCATACCTTGGTTTAAGGTTTAGAGTTTAAAGATTTTGGGTTCGGGGTTTAAAGGTTTGGGGGTTTAGGGTGTAAGGGTTTAGGGTTAAGACAGGATTCCATGCAACATAGCGCAGGTTTAGGAGTTCAGGGTATAGGCCTGTTGCTCCCTCCACGGGTTTTCAGATGCGGACCCGAATCACATGCTCGGACAACAACTCGGCTCTGATAATAAGCACAGACTACAGAAATTGATATGGGTAGTTCTCTAGATTCGGTTTCCTTTTAGGGCCCCTTTTTTAAGGGTGCCGTACTATTTGGGGACCTGGAAAGGGACCCTAATTTAGAGAACGACCATCTGAGAGCAGACCTACGAATCCTCCAGACTCTGAGCCGGGCTTGAGCCCTAAAGCCCAGAGCCATACATGCTTAAACCCAAACCCTAAGGGTCCATGTACCCAAATAGTAGATACTTTGGCCTTAAAGTAGTCCCTATTTGGGAACTTTTAAGGCCAAGTATCTACTATTTGGGTACATGGACTCTATGGGAAAACCCTGAAACCCGAACCCCTAAACCTCTCAAGCCCTAGACCCCTACATCACCAAGCCGGAGTCAACCCCCCAACACCTCAACCTCTCAACCCCAAAACCCCTCAAGCCCTTCTAGAGCCTTTAGAGGCCTTTAGAGCCTTAAAGCCTAAACCACTCAAGCCCGAAGTCACTGAAGTCCAGAACCCTAAAACCCTAAACACACGCAAAAACTCTAAACCCCTCAAAACTCTCAAAAAGCCCAAAGCCCCAAACCCAAAAACCCTTAGGAACAGTACACTAAACCCCTCAACCCCCCAACGCCCCCAAAACCCCAAACCCTGTAAACCCTAAAACTTCTTAACCCTAAACCCTAAAGCCCTAAACCCTGCAAGGCCCCTGGCAGCGCTGCTCTACATCCTCCGGGATCTCCTCATCCTCCTGGAGTTGAAGGCTTTAGGGGTTTAGGGTGTAGGGTTTAGGGCTTTAGGGTTTAGGGCTTAGGGGTTTAAGGGTTTAGGGTTTGGGATTTTAGGGGGGTTTAAGGGTTTAGGGTTTGGGGTTTAGGGTTTGGGGCTTAGGGTCTTAGGGGGGTTTAGGGGTTTAGGGTCTTGGGTTTTAAGGTTTAGGGTTTAGGGTTTCAGGGTGGGTTTAGGGTTTAGGGTTTTTTGTGGGATGGGATGAAAGGCTTTGAACCTGTTTGCGCGGTCGCTTTTCCGCTCTACACATGGAGCCTTCAGCCCAATAGTGAAGGATCCTGCTAAACTCACTATCGACCTTGAACAATTCGATGACCTGAGCAGCCTCCTTCGAGAAGCTCTTTCCAAAACCCGTAAACCTACGCCGAAATCCTATCCTAAACCCTAAACCCTAAACAATACTAAACCTATAAGCCCTGTAAACCCTATGAGCCCGAAACACCCTAAACTTTAAAAGCCCTATAAGCCCTATAAACCCTAAAAGCCATATAAGCCCTAAACCTTATCAACACTTTGGGCCCTATAAACCCCACAAGCCCTATAAGCCCTAAACCCCTGAACCTTATAAACCCCATAGGCCCCATAAACAGTATTACTATAAGCCCTGCAAGCCCTGAACCCTAAACCCTAAACCCTAAAACCCTAGACCCTAAGCCCTAAACCCTAAAACCCGAAATCCTGAAACCCTGAACCCTACAAGCCCTGTAAGCCCTAAACCCCGATGCTGCCGCACCTTTGTCTGCGAGTTCCCCGACTGCTCCGAGACAAAGTCGAGCGCTGCCTCTTTAACCCCAGGGTTGGGATTCAGGGTTTAGGGTTCAGGGTTTAGGGCAGGGTTCAGGGTTTAGGGTTTAGGGTTTAGGATTTAGGGTTTAGGGTTTGGGGGTCAGGGCTTAGGGTATATATTCGTTAAACTGTTGATCTATCCTTGCCATGTTGCTGTTAGCACTGCTAACGTTCGTACGCTTGCAATGATACTGATGATGTTGCAACAGCCAATAAGGTACGGGCCTTAATCATTACAATAGGGTTTTGGGACCCATTTTGCTATAATTGTAGTAAGGAACCCAAAACATACTATAGGTAATTATTATAAGAACCCTATATTACCGTCGTTAGTACTGTTGATAGCGCTACTGTATCTGGTTTCGAACCACGGGTGTGCGCATGCGGGGCCCTTGACCCACAATAATTTGCTGGGGTAACGGCTATCGCCCTTGGTTATGAGATGATAACCTACTATTTGGAAGGTTTTGCGCTAAACCCTAAACCCTAAACCCGAAACCTTAAACCCTAAACCCTAAACCCTAAAACCCTAAACCCTAAACCCAAAACAGTGGCTACAGGCGACACTTGTGACAAGAAGAGTGTGCATGATACTCGCCGAAACAGTTGTGATGTGAGAAGCAGTGATTAATGACTAAAGTAGCCAGTAGATGTAGCAGACCCCCATAGTACTTACCTCCGACAGCCCTGAAACCCCGCCCGGGCCCTCCTCGCGCGATCAGGTTTCTTCGCCGGTAGCTCTTCGGCTTCGAAACCCGGGGGGGCCCAAAATCCGCGAGAGCCCATCTTAAACCCTAAACCCCTAGAGCCTTCAAGAGGGCTCCCTGTATGACCCTGTAAAATCCTATAATACCCCAATGTCGCCATATGTACACAAAACCCTGCCTAAACCCTAAACCCTTACGGCAGGCCACGCCCGTCAGCACGCCGGAGGAAGAGCCAGAGCCACGGGCTGAGCCCTTCTTCTCCTCGTCGCTTAAATCTCTTGCTACCCCTTGCTACTAAATAGGGTTTAAAGTTTAGGGTTTAAG